AACCAGTCCGAAAAATAAGACCACAAATACTTTTGTGATCTTATTTCAAATTAGTATGGTCCAATCCATAGATAATACACTATATTGGTCCAATCATAGCCAATGTTAAAACGTCAAAATGGCGCCGTGGGCTTTCAAAAGCTGTGTAAATAACCACCGTAACACCAAGATTTTGGAAAGAATTTATTTTTTTACTGTAAGTTTATATGATTAAGTGCTTATCTTAAAATATAACAGAATTAAATAGTACATATAAATATTTATGTACTTATGACTTTTTATATTCAAGCGGCATTTTTCTCGGAGGACAGGATTTAAACAAACATATTTTGCAATGATATTTAAACTTTATGTTTGAGTGATAAGGTTTATAATAAAGTGAAGTTGTTAATATTATTAATCTTTTTTCTATATTTCATAATAAGAAATATAGATGTTTACGTGTGTGCAAACGTGGCCACTTGTTACTTATTTTTGTTCTTGATCCTTAATCTAGTATTAATATTGATTGAAGACAAAATAGGAGTATATTACCGCTGCTTTTCGTTAGGTGACTTTCACATTGTCTCTTAAAATGCGTCTGTGATTTGATTCATGATTGTCCTAGAATTTGATATCCATTGTATAGTTAAAAATTACGTTTATCAAAAATTTTATTATACATTTTGTATCACTTAAATCAGAATAAAATGTTGAATTTAAATTAAAAAGTATCAAAACCCGTCCATCACTGTGTAAACGTATCGTTTAATTTATATTACCGCTCTTAAGAGATTGTGTCGTCGATAACATCATTGGTTTCTTTTTTATAATAGGCATCGTGACCCCTTGCTACTGATTGTTAGCACTGATATTGTTTACAATTAAATTAGGTGTTATAAAAGATATGATTTCTTGATTTAGATGTTGACGATAGTTATCAAAAAATGACGTGTGGTGGCTTTGCAAAATAATTTACACCGCATATCCATGTGCATATGTGAATGAGGAAAGAAAAAATAATAAAATCCCATAGAAGCAGGAAATAGCCCAGCGATACATAGTGTCGTCGTAATATTTTTAATGTTTTTAGACATGCGAGTTTACTTAAGGCTTTCATCACTCCCGAGAACGCGGTAAAAAGAGCCTAACAATTTAATTGGCGCACTCTGGTTGCTTACAATACTATATAAACTAAAAGGAATTGAAGTTATTTTTTTTTTAATTCTCTTAATGTTAAAATAATTTGTTACTCGCATTCAGGTGGGTATCGTAAAAGGAGACTATAGTAAATTCATTTGGGTTAAAGTTATAGCCCATATATGTCCCACTGCTGGGCACAGGCCTCCTCTCACTTTTGAGAGAGATTTTAGGGCAGGGAAGAGTTCGCCGCGCTGACCCACTGCGTGTTGGTGGACTTTACATGTTGTCTTCGAAATATTTTTTTGCTTTTTATTTCTTAAACTCGCGGATTTCCTCACAATGTTTTCCTTCACAGCCGAGAATGTGGTAAATTAGCACTTAAAATCGCAATTAGCAATTTCATTGGTGCCGGTGGGGTTTGAACCCGGGTTTACAGCGATCGCTAAGCTCCTGAGCTACCATGGCTCCTGAATAGTAAATCCATTTGGGTAATCGATAATATTGTTAATATATTAGTACATTAAATAATTTGTATTGGTTCCTTTTTGTAGTTTGTCAAAAATATTTAGCTTAAATTAAATTATATTATTTAAAAATACGCAACGATGCTTCCTTGATTATGAAAACCTATGGCTTCATTTACGTACTGTTATTCTTTTCTAACATTCTGACAGGTCATATAAAGTAGTATAGTTGTAGCACGATTGGGTCGGCTCGACCGGGGTAGGGCCACAGAATACCAGCGTAAAACAGCATAATGCTGCTGTGTTTCGTATGGTGAGTATAGAGAACCGGAGACCCTTTTACTGGAGACGAGGCATTCCATCTTAGTTGTCACGGTTGACAACGCATCTGCATTTTGATTCGTAATTAAGGATATATGTACATGTCTATGGGCCACAGCAACCACTTACCATCAGGTGGACTCTGGCTCGTTTGTTACCTCATCCTATAAAAATAGTATTTCAATTAACATGAGTATCTACTACTCTACTTGTGCTATGGTGTGCCAAGCTCACGTACTTTCAAAATTGCGTATTAATTAAAGATTGTTACCAATATGACAAATAAGCTATTAGGTACCCGTTGGCCATGAATAAATTATATAATCTTGATCCAGTTTTTGACCCACGCACCCATACACATGTGTTGCGATGGGCAATGTATGCGCAACACTATAGACAGTTAAGTATAAAAACCTCAGTACACTAGTACGGCTATAGCATTAACTCACAACAACTAAATCAAACAACATGGCAGCTAAGGTGAGTGTGGTTCACTTATTAATTCAAAAGCTCTGAATACAGAAGCGCACAAAACCAAAAGGGTTTCCGTTTTTGTTATATTGAAATCATCAGTATCGCCTGTAAAAGGTCCGCATCTGGGTGTTAGCGTTTCTTTAGTTTTAAAAACGATAAAATGCTTAAAGTATAAACTGTACATAATATATTGTGGGTATTATATTTTTAACTTTACCAACCCACTTTAGCACTACCGGTAAAGTGCTGAACGGCTTTTCACAAGATAAGAGTGGTGATCTGTGGTAAGATGTACAAGAAGTCGATGGAAGTAGGAGGCTTAGGACCGTGTGGTGTGGCTTTCCTGGGAGAAAGGCTTTGTTCAGAATTTGAATAGAGTACGGCTATATTGATAATGATGATGATGAGGAAATTTGCCATATACTTTACCTACTTACTCCAAAATTTTAATTGAATAAAAATATAAATAGTAATACGATTACTTTGAAGTTAGTTTTTTACTAATTAAACTTATTATTATTTGTTAATTATATATACTTTCACAGACGAAATACACCCCATATATATTTCAAATAGCGCCCATGATGACTGAAGTCTGTTTACATATTTTAATAATATAATTGAATATGTGTGCAAGGAATGTAGTACAATACGTAATCATTTGTCTGCTCGACTTTATAAAAGGATTTCATTTTACGGGTCCAAATACAAAATTAAAACATATTCGTAGGTAAAAATAATACAATAAAAAAAAAGAAAGGTAAAATATTCTACTTGTTTATATCTCCATAACTCTATAAGAGTATACCATAACTATATAATAAACTCCATAAGAGTTTAAAGTAGGCTTATTTTTTTGCGATGAAAGTCAAATTGGGACAAGCGTATTAGGCTATTAGGGATAGGAGATCTCATTTTGAGTTTAGTTTTAGAATTATTTGATTTTCTGTGATTTAATGTAAAACGTAATGATGATCAAACTTTCCTTAAATTCGTATATTTAAGGAAAGTTCTAATATTAGGGCACTATATTTTCTCCGTTTACTATTATTTTGGGCGCTGGCGTAGAAATAGTTTAGTTTACCAATAGAAGTTAGCAAGCCCAACCTGCCCTCTTGATCTTGTTTCATTAGACAGCATTATACTTGGCATGAAAAGAGGAAAAACTGAGTGCCTCTGTTGTTGCTGTTAAACTTTTTATTTATTCTTATTTGAAATATATCTACTCTAAATAAATAAAAACTTATTGCAAATAACATGTTTTTCATTTAATTTTTCTAAAACTGTTAACTTTGGTATAACCTCGAGAATATAATGGTAACATATTAAATGTGATACGCCTGAAATAACTATCATTGAGAAACAGTACGTAACAAGTGATTCGGTTTTTTTTAAAAGTTTTTGTTCGTCATCCATCGATCTTTTCATTGATTTAAAGTTAAAGTTACAACCTATATAAGTCCCACTGCTGGGCACAGGCCTCCTCTCATCTCCGAGAAGGTTTTTGGGCAAGGAATTGTCCGCCGCGCTGCCCCAATGCGTGTTGGCGAACTTCACATCATGTCTTCGAAATATTTTTTCTTATATCACGGACATGTTTCCTTCACCGCTGAGCACGTGGCAGACGTTGTTCTGCCCTTTTCGACGACCCTTTATCATGACCTATTAAAATCATTAAATTCGCAAAAAAAATGTGGGTCACTCATGGGCAAAAAACTTTCCTATCTCTCAAGTTGGACCAAACTGCACACGGTGTGCAAATTTGATCAAAATCGGTTTAGTAGTTTAGGAGTCCATCGCGGACAAACAACGTGACACGTAATTTCTATATATAAAGATTATTACGGCGGGATCGAACAGGGATTGCTCGCGTACTTTGAAATTTACAGCGAGCGGTCAGCCCATCCTTTATATCTTATAAAAGTCCATCGCTGAATATAGGCCTCCCCTCATTGATTGCCTCGTAAGGGGAATTTTGCCATAGTTGCCATACTTGACAGGCGGTGTGCCAACCGCAATGTTTTATTATTTTGTGTTGTTATCAGGAAGATGCTGCTGCCCATCTCCTGCCTGTATCCCTCTGTCGCCTCTTACGACACCCACGGGAAGATATGGGGTAGTGGATATTTTCACAACCTCACTACACGGTCATATTAATCAAGAAATAGGAGTAGTAATGACTAGACATTTTAGATTAATTTCTATTGAATCTGCTGAGTGATGGGGACGGAAAATAGGGTTGTTGCCGCTGAGAAACAATTCTCTTAAGTTCTGCGGTTTCTAAAAATTGTGAAGAAATTAATCGGATTTATGCTAAATTTACTGGCAATTTAATATCCCGCAAATTCAGATAACTGTGCGAATAATCAAAGATAACGTTTTAGTCGAATCGGACGGTCGAAACAATAAATACTAACAATTTGTTATAGGTTATAAATTTACTTTACTGACTAGACATCAAAAGACATCAACACTGTACAAACTTACATGCCTTGAACTTATTTATCATCATGTGGAAACACCATAAGAACTATGATAAGAAAATATTAGATGTACAAAGTGCTTCTTTAAATTTTTGACAATTTGGTATCGTAAATAATTTAATCAAAATTTTTTCAGACTCTGGTGTTCTTGTGCGCGGTGGCAGCGGCTACAGCCATCGCCGTCCCTGTGTATCCCTACACCCAGGCCACATATGCCCCAACTTCTTTCAATTATGCCGCGGCACCTGTTGCCAAGACCGTCTACACCGCGGCACCTGTTGCCAAGACCGTCTACGCCGCGGCACCTGTTGCCAAGACCGTATACGCCACGGCACCTGTTGGCAAAGTTACCTACACCGCAGCACCCATCGCCAAGCTAGCCTACGCAGAGCAGGAAGAACCTGCCAATTACGAATTCAGCTACTCAGTTCACGACACCCAAAGCGGCGACATCAAGCAGCAACATGAACAACGTTCCGGCAATTCCCTTCAAGGCTCTTACTCTCTGGTACAGCCTGATGGTGTCCACCGTGTTGTAGACTACACCTCTGACCACGAGCATGGTTTCAACGCCGTTGTGCGATATGAGGGTCAGCCTACTGAAGCTCCCGTAAAGGTTGCCTACGCTGCACCGGTCGCCAAGGTCGCTTATGCCGCTCCAGTGACCAAGCTCGCTTATGCTCAGGCCCCAGTTACCAAGTTCGCTTACGCACCTGCTCCCGTCAACTACGCAGCAGCCCCTGTAACCAAGGTAGCATATGCCCCAGCTCCGGTCACTTATGCCGCCGCGCCCGCAAACTTTGCCTACTCTGCGCCCGTTGGCCACGTCACCTTCTCATCCCCATCCTACTCTTACAATCACTAAGCCTTTTTGTTGATTATTGTAAAACTATTTATTATGTTTAATACAAAACTCAGTCATCCTTACCCGTTGTTTTTTTTTTGTTCTTCATCGCCTGGGGAAAATATTGAACAAGGAGGCGTCAAACGGCTATCCGATATCAAAACGCTGCAAACGAAGTTAGGAGGAAGCGTGCGGGTAGTGCCGGGGAATCAATTGAGTTATGTAGCATTATAACGCGATGAGCTCCGTTAACACTACACGTCCGCACCCCTGCGGGCCCTCTCTGACGCATTACTCTTGACACCTATTCATTCGGATAGTTTGTTAAAACTTTTGACCAATATAAATTAATATAACAAGTACGGCGCTCCCCTCAATCGTCAGTAAAACTAAAGCAAGCGGGGGGCAGGGAGTTTCCATGTAGCTGGTACGAACTAGCTTCGTAAAACATGGGTTGATACGTGCCAACGCCTATTTTAATGATTGCAAGCAAATATAAATTGACAGGTCCGATGTTAAAAGTGGTTGTTAGCACAAAGCCCCCGTCTGTGCAATATGTGACGTGAATATTTTATTTCTGGTTTCTATAGTAGGAGGTCTGTCGGCCAAGATATCAAAGAGATGCACCGACGTGTGACAACAGCTAGTAAGATCGATTTCTATTATTTCTTTGTGTAAATACATTATTTGTTGTATAAATACAAAATGATATTTTGCTTTAAATATTGTTTTAAGGGCTTGTACCTGGTCAGATTTCTTAATTGTATTCATAAAAGTAGCTGTTGCCCGCGACTCCATCCGATTTCATGGGTTTTAATTTTTTTTGCGCGGTACCCTAATTCTTTTTCTATAATAAAAGTAGCCTCAGTTACTACTTATAACATCAGCTATCTCTCAGTGAAAGTCCCGTCGAGACCTTTCGGAAATTAGCCGGAACAAACAGACAGACAGACAAATATTTAAAAAACTGTGTTTTTTTGTTATAAGTACCATAATATATATATATATATATATATATATATATATTACAGATATGTACTTTCATATGCATTTAGTACAAATCTGTTATTTTGATATTACAAACATATACTTCAATTTTATTTATTTGGTTAGATTATGTGAAATATTTGTGGTTCCTGTCATTGTTTTATATGTGGTAACAAGAGAACTCTCACACAATATCAGTGTAAGGATCACAATTAATCTGCATTTTTATACGGAACAAGGATAGGTGGTGTCTATTTGCCACAGCTACTACTCTTTATAGAATAATGTCGATGAACGAGCACACAGTCCACCTAATGGCCTAAATAAGTGGTCTACATCTATCCTCGGTTAAGAATTAAAAAGGCAGTTGCGTTGTCACCTCCGAAGACTAAGATGAAATGCCTCGCTTTCAGTATAAAAGCTCTCTGGTTCTTTACACTCACCATTTATATCACAAATACAAAACACAGTAGCATATTTTACGGTGGTATTCTCTCAGAGCGTAGTTATTCCCCGGTAAAGCCGAGTTATTCGTGCTGCATCCACAAAATAGGTGACGCATCGTTCTACCACGTATGAAATGCAATGGTGTACCTTTGGTGTACGCATGTCACATATACGTAAAGGTGTGTCTACGCTAGAGGAGCCGAGTACGGGCTGAGCACAAGCATAGCCGCTCTACTCATGGTGTCAAGTGTGCAACAAGTTTACAACATGCAAATCAATGCACGCGATTCAAATCCCTTTGTGTTCGTCAAAAAACCGACAATGGGTGGAGCACAGTCGAGCACAAACCAAACGCTCGAAGCGCTCATTCGAAGCTTGTAAGTCAGTCCACACTACATGAATTTGTGCTCGGCTTGTGCTCCGCTAATGCTCGGCTTGTCTAGCGTACACGCACCTTAAGATTTTTAGTAATCCGAGGTAGATTAAATTTTAATATGCAATAAGAACTATCGCGATCACAAAGATTAAATATCCTTGCTATGATACAATCAGTATCACGGCTTATAAGAAGACTACGGCAGTATAACATTGAGGGGTATCCACTACCCCATATCATCCTGTAGATGTCGTAAGAGGCGACAGAGGGGAACAACTCAGGAGATAAGCACCAGCATAGCTAATAATTATAATAATAAAATAATAATAATTATAATAATAATTATTATAATCATAATTGCCCTGGTGTTGCGGTTGATCATGGGCGGCGGTAGTCACTTAACATCAGGTGAGCCGCATGCTCGTTTGCCCCCTCTTCTATAAAAAAAGGCTAATAACGATAAAAAATTAAAAAAACTGCGGTTGTAAATCCGTATACCAAGCGTGGCAACTATGGCATATATCCCACCTATGAGGAAATCTGTGGAGGAGGTCTGCGTTCAGCAGTGGACTTTAATAGGCTGTAACAGTATCGGTAATAAGAGGTTTACCGCTTGCTGTATACCAGTTTAGTTAGCAGTAGCACGATAAGTCTCAGTATAATTAAACAAAGGTCCTTATCCTTATATCTTTTTATAATCCTTGGCTAGTGCAAAGCAATGATACCTATCTCAGATGTTTTGAATAACGTCAACAAATTACAATCGCTGGTCTTAGAATTTTTGGTCTGGTACGTTTGAGGTGGCTTCCCACAAAAATCTAAATAATAAAGCAATACTATTATTAGACAATATTATAGAGAGTATTTTCCAACAGAATATTAAAATGTTTAACATTTAATATATTTTTAAGTAACCGAAAATATACATTTTAGATTTAAATAGAAGAGGCGTAGAGCTAAAGAGGAGATAAATTTGCGTTTCCAAAAGAAAAAGTATTTCTGGGTAGGGTTGGTGTTTTACTAGTTCTTCTTGTTTCTTTTCTTAAGTAGCCGTAGAATATAATATGTAAAAGTTACGGCCAATATACGTCCCACTGCTGGGCAGTGGGCACAGGCCTCCTGTCATTTCTGAGAGGGTTTTAGGACAAGGAAGTGCCCGACGCGCTGCCCCAATGCGGGTGTTTTCCTTCACCGCCGAGCACGTGGTAAATCAACACTTATTTATAATAACGAATCCGACTGCGTAGATCCTCTAAATGATAAGTAGGGGTTTAATATGTTTCATATTTAAGTTATCATCATCATTACAGCCCTTAACAACTCCACTGCTGAACATAGGCCTCACCAAGGAATGTCACAAAGCACGGTCTTGAGCCATCTGCATCCATCGACTTTCCGCACGTCTTACCAGATTGTCACTCCATCTAAGGGGGGTCACCCTACAATTCAACTACGGTACATCTGCGGTACGAGGCTGCCACTCGTGAACCTTTCTTTTTTGCCGGTTGTACGGCTCTACGAGATATATGGCCGACCTATTCCACTTCAGCTTACTAATCCTTTGGGCTATGTCGGTTACTCCGGTTCTGCTGCGGATATACTCATTTCTACGACACATCTTCTCGCTAGATAGACCTCAAAACCTGAAAACAAGATTGTACAACCAGTGCATGTTACTAGCGATGACTTATAGATCAGAGACGTGGTCCTTCACAGCTGACGTATGAAGAAGCTCAAGGTCGCTCAGTGAGCTATGAAGAGAGCTATGCTTGGAGTTTCTCTGAGTGATTTAAGTTTAGTATATCGATACCTTAATTGGCAAACCAGCCAACTCCACATTTAGTCAAAAAAATATTTTGGTATAAATTGTACGCAACAGTAGTTCGTCGTGATTTGCAAAAACGACAACTCCGATATGATCACAATTCTTTACATAAATCGCTATTAGAAAATCAGCCAACTCCATGTTGTACGGAAAGTTACTATTTTGACAGCCAACTCCACTAAGTCGGCCATTTTGTATGGCGTTCGAGTCGTGTACGGTTACCGCCCTACGTTTTGTTGAAGAAAATTATTAAAACGCGACAAAAGGAAAGGTAGTATTGAAAAATAGTTGAACATTAATACAAGGTATGGATACTTATTTACTTTTTCACAAAACAGCGCTAGTTATTGATGTAATTTTAAGATTTAATACTGGCTAGGAGTCGGCTGATTTGCTTCTTAATTTTTCACACTAGTGTTGGGAGTTATCCATTTTTATGTTTGTTAAAAAGTAATTAAATTTTAATGTTGATATTTTTATATAACTTTACTTTTAAAGTTAAATTGATATTTTTTATCATTTTGGCTCATTTTTGTGCTTATGGTGATGTTTTTTTTTAATTTGTATGCAGATGTCCCACTCACGAGCTAAAAAAATACTGCAAATAAGCATGCAAAATGAACAGCATGAGCTTAATGAAACCAATAACTCTGTTTTATTTGTTAATAACCAATTTCCAAATCCGTATGACGCTTTGGTTGAGCATGATAGCGTAGCTTCTAATTCTGCTTCATCGACTTTCTTTGATAATGGCTACATTGATTATATTGAAAATGAAAAGCCTGGCGTAGAGTACATATATAACCCTGAATCGTTTGACAGTAAAAGTTTCAATAACGAAACATGTTCTAATACGCAGACATATGAAATAGTGAAGAATGTTGTTATTGAAGACATATTTCCGCTTGAAACAGAACAACTCAGTCCAAGTTCTCACTCGGTTCAAGTTCTATCTCTTCGTCTTACTCCATCACTTATCTACAATTCTGAAAATGCCTCTAATAGTTTTGAACCATCTCAATCGTACCTCTGTACAAGTAATGATAAATCGGATGACGATTTGGCCGTTCCTTTGATACAAGAAAAACTAACAGCTCATGAAACTATACCTCCTAACTTACCTACCTACCTAACCCCAACTGCCTGTCCTGAATTAATAAATAAATTAGTCGATTACAGTGATACTGATTCAGAATCGGAAGAACCGGTTATAAAAAGAAAGAAAAGGTGTCAAGTAAAGAAGGAAGAATGGACTAGTGAAATTAATAAAAAGAATAGAGAAAAGGGTAAAGAATATTGCGGTAAGAAAAAAGTTGATGGAGAGTGGAAAAAAAATATAAAGAAACCAAAAAAGGTGTTGAAACCCCGGTGCAGTTGTAAGGAAAAGAGAAATAGTGTTATTCAGTGTCATAGTATTTCTGAAGATGACAGAAAAATATTATTTGATAAGTTTTGGAATATGACTTGGGATGAAAAACGAGTTTACGTGGATAATTTAGTAAAAGTTTTACATACAAATAGGCAAAGAGATAGGAAAGACCCTCAAAAATCTAAAAGAGTTAACACTTTTATTTACTACCTAAAAAAAGGTGAAGATATGATAAGAGTCTGTAAAACGTTATTTCTTAATACCTTCTCTATCGGTAAATCATGTATCTGGGGTTGGAAGGTTGAAATTGGTGGAAAGAATACTGATGAACAATTACCAGAAAGTACTCAGAGAAATCCATTCGACCAAGAAATTAAAACTTTACAGGACTTTTTAGATGACTTACCCAAAATGCCTTCACATTATTGTAGAAAAAGGACAACACAGACATACATACAACCAGACATATCATCCAAACAGCAACTTTATAAAATGTATAAAGATTATTGTGAGTCAAAAAACAAAAAAAACACTATCTATTGCCACTTTTACAAATACCCTAACCATACAAAAAAATAGCTTTATTCAAACCGAAGAAAGATTTGTGTGACATCTGTAACGGATACAAGATGGGCCATATTACTAAAGAGACTTACGAAGAGCATGTAAATAAAAAGAACGAAGCGAGAATGGAAAAAGAATCTGATAAAGAAAAAAAGGAATTTGTCTTTACTGCAGATCTCCAAGCAGTGCTTTTAGCACCGCGATCCTATGTGTCTTCAAATTACTACAAGACTAAGCTGTGTGTTCACAACTGGTGTATTTATGACATGAAAACTAGCGATGGGTATTGCTTTCTATGGAATGAGGCCGAAGGTGGGCTTAATTCTGATAAGTTTGCAACGATTTTAACCAATTTCTTTATGAATAAAGTGGTCCCAAAAATGGGAGATAACAACAGATTCATAACTTTGTACACGGATGGGTGTACGTATCAAAATAGAAACGTTACTTTAAGCAATGCTCTCCTCAACATAGCTATGCTGAATAATGTTACAATTGAGCAAAAATATTTGGAACTAGGCCACACCCAAATGGAGGTTGACAGTATGCACGCAATGATTGAAAAAAAAACTAAAAAATCAAGTAATTAATGTTCCAGCCGAGTACATTACCATTTGTAAGAATGCAAAAAAATCAAAACCGTACACAGTCGAATACCTAAACTATTCTTACTTCAAGAATTTTAAAAATTTACAATTTTACACCTCCATAAGACCAGGAAAAATGAAGGGCGACCCTAAGGTACATAAATTACTTAAATTTTATTAATTATTATTGCTACTATATTGGATCGATACGATAAGTTCTGTTTCTCTTTTACAGGTTACCGACATACGAGCTCTTAAGTATGCACCCTCTGGAGAAATTTTTTATTATTTAACTTAAATTAACTGATGAATATAAATTACTCAACCAGCGCAGGAATGCCCGAATTAACAACATTCCTTTTAATAATATACCTAACCTATACAACGAACGCAGGAAAATTACAAAAAAAAGTTCTTAGATTTACAGCAATTAAAGAGCTCAATGCCAAGAGATTACCAAAACTATTATGACAACCTTCCTCATGAAGCCTAAAATAGTGTACCTATATTTAACATTATTTGATTATTATTAAGTGTATTAACATATCTTATAATTAAAACTTAAAAAGAAAAATAAACTTTTATTTAAAATTAATTTATCGAGCAAACCAGCTAACTCCTAGCTCACATACTTTAACAAGAAAGGAAAAACGGATAACTCCTAAAAACGCTGTAGTATTGTAACGAAAACATATAAAGGGTTTTACAGTATTAAAAATAACAATTTACGATAATATCTACGAACGGTGTTTTAGATTTTTTTCGTAAGTAATCTACAAAAAATATTATACAGTTTTAAGTGTCTCCTGAAAAACTTGCTCGTATGGAGTTAGCTGGTTTGCCAATTGAGGTATCGATATGTAAAAATATTTTTCTGCATTTAGATACATATACTACAGCATTGTAATATGTATTACTAATATTAAGTTGTGTAAACAAAGCTCGATAAAGAATTCTCTGAGCGAATACATGATGCGCGCAAATGTTTAGTTAAAGTTATTCAATCTGCCCACAAAGGGTTGCCCCGTGTTAATCCGGCTATTATCGGATAGTGAATTGTTAATTCCCTCCTCCCTCCCCCCGCCTCCCAACGCGGCGCTGTTAGTACCTACATATTACACCGAATGTTGCTAGTGCATATCATATCAAAATAGTGTTGTTATCAAGTGAAGTATATGGTTATAATAATTGTTCATGGCAGTAAAATTGAACGCGGGGTATTATAAATTTGTTCTTTTTTTCACTTATAAGTTGTTTGACAAAACATTTTGACAAATAAATATATGCTGGTCTTTTTGTATTAATTTTTATTATTGAAGTTAATTTGGAAAGTTGTATTGTTACATGTTTGCGTAAATTTGTACCCTTTGTTATTTACACTATAATCTTAATTAATTTTTTTAATTCTTATCCTTAAAAATAAATATTTTTTATATAGGAGAGGGAAAACACAAAACCCCCCCCTACTCTTCCCCCCCCAAAAAAAAAAACCAAAAAACAACCCTAACACCAAAAAAAAAAGATTTATAGAATTAGCACTTACCGATGTTCACGGAAAAGACCTAAGCTAATCACATTTCACCCAAATAGAGGGCTTTCTGGTTATTATCCAATTTTAATGTATCATAGCACATAGCTCGTAGGTATAGTTGGATAATATTTGCTTAAATGAAAAGGGTTGAGAATTCTAAGTGATATTTAAGCCAACGTCAAAAAAGAAATAGGTTCCCAACTCGACTGTATTTATTGTATTATATGCGCAATCTTCGCACATTGTAAATTATTTTAATGATTATTTAATAAATAGACTATAGGGTGTGATTCCATTTAAATTCAAAGAAAAATTCCAACCTAAAGGGTAGAACATTTAGGGTGAAGTTTTTGAATGTAACTATATCTAGACGACATTTTAGTAGTTACACTGAGCTTTTGATATTTCAATCCACTTTAAAGGATCCGAAATTAAGCTTTTAATAAAATATAATAACCGAATTCAAAGAACTGAAACAATAAAATAATTTCCGCATACCAAATAGATTCTGGAATCGGGGCATTGATAGAGATATTTATATTGAAGAATACGTTATGTCCTAGCACCGGCAGAAGCTGTTCATTCGTCACACCCTATTAAAAGTGTATAGACAACAGTTAAATGTTAGAAGTAAGAGGTATTCGGAATTAACACGTTATTCGCTAATTAAACTTTTCCAGTCTCACTCAGTCATCACGATGGTAAGCGGATGCTATGGCTCATAGACCTCTACGTCTATTCTCGATTAAGAATCAAAATACAGGCCTAATGAGCAAAATGGAATGCCTGGTTTCCAGTAAAAAGGGTCTCCGGTTCTCTACACTCACCATACGAAACAGAGCAGCATTAATCTGCTATTTTACACTGGTACTGGTATATTGTCCTTACCCGATCGATCCACCCGTGCTACAACTTTATATAGCTGGAGCATGGCTCTAGGACCACGTGTGAGAACTACACGTAAACAAAAACTAAAAAAGTTACAAATGAGGCACACGATCCACATAAATCAATTCAAGTACCTCCGCTATACTCACTATAAGTTTTCCATTCTACCTAAATTAATAGTTCCTTATGTTTACACGGACATTAAACTAGTTTTTACCGATTTTATCGCGTTAAGTAAGTTAACATAACTTATATTCCCGACGTTTGGAGTATTTTACAGGACCCATGGTCACGGTGGGGACTAAGGTGTTATGCACGGCTATCTCTTGATTATAATTATTAATATTGTAGATATTCGAAGTATTTAAAAAAATAGTTACATATTTTAAATGGTTATTTATGATGACCTCTAAAAAATTATTTTCGTTTTTGTTCTCCCAAAACTTACTAGTACGAGTATGTATTTGGGTAGTTTCATATTACTAATATGCTAAATTTAAATATAAATATATTAAAGACGCTGGTATGAGAGCGATGCTCCTGGTCGAGCCGACCCATTTTTGTAGCAACTATATTAGAAATGCACCATGGCTCCACTAAGTAAAATTATTTTTTACAATAATCTATCTTACAAACATATTCTCTTAAAGTCTCTTAGGATAAAGATTAAGGACACTGCTTTACCAAAATATTGTCAAAATTCGATTTTTTAGATCTGGCATAGAAACTAAATTCCTACTCCGATCAACAATGGTGATGCAAATTATTGGTTGTCCTCATGTCTCTGACGGCATATACTTTCTTCTTCCTGCAAGTAGACAGGTGCGAAACATTACCTTAGATAAAAACTCTCTGATTACACTCTTAATCTCATGGTTGTTAGGCGGGAAATGAAGCTGCAGTCTTCAACAGATTTGACAGCATACAGGCAACTGAACAGACAGATCTCCAAATACATGCGGCAGGACTTACGCAAATTTAATACTGCTCGTATTGAAGAAGCGATCGAGCGGGACCAGGGCTCCAAAGTCTTTGCCAGAGATCTGGCTGCCAGAAAGAGCCAACTGTTAAAGCTGAAGACTGAGTGGGGAAGAATCGTTTCCGGGACACCTGAGATTTTGGGTGAGATTGAGGGGTGAGGTGTCTATGGGGAGCTGTACACATCATCGTTGGAGCCACGCGCAAGTGTTAGTAACGATCCAAGAGCAAGTCTTATCCTTCACTATTCCGGTGATATTCCGGACGTCAGTCTGAGCGAGATTAGATGGCTCTCCAGCACCTTAAAAACGGCAAAGCCCCAGGCGAGGATGGAATTGTAGCGGAGCTTCTAAAAGCGGTTGGAACACCGGTACTTAAAGTCGTTCAGAAGCTCTTCAATTCCATCCTCTATGGTGGCACTACTCCGAAGGCATGGAGCAGAAGTGCGTTGGTCTTGTTTTTCAAGAAAGGCGACAACGCCCTCATGAAGATGTACAGAACGATTTCTGTTACGAATCGTCTTGCACACAGACTCGACGACTTCCAGCCTCCCAAACAAGCCGGTTTCCGAAAAGGCTTCAGTACCATAGACCACATACCTACCCTGCGGCGGATTGTACAGAAGAGCGAAGAGTACAATCTGCCACTTTGCTTTGCGTATGTGGACTATGGAAAAGCCTTTGATTCTGTCGAAATTTGGGCGGTGCTACGGTCCCATCAGCGGTGCCAAGTTGACTATCGGTATATCGAAGTGCTGAAGTGTTTGTACAGTAGGGCTACGAGGGCTATCCGAGTACAGAACCAGAGTACGAAACCTATCCAACTGCGGAGAGTTGTAAGACAGGGTGACGTTATATCCTCGAAACTCTTCACCGCTGCATGGGAAGACGTTTTACGAGTAAAGCTACTGATAAGATACGGTATTAACATCAATGGCGAGTACATCACTCACCTACGATTTGCCGACGATAAAGTTCTTATGGCATAATCGTTGGAGGACCTAAGCACTATGCTCAATGACATATGTCAATGAAATAGTGTCTCCCAAGGGATATGTCTTCAGATGAACATGGACAAAACAAAGACCATTTTTAATATCCGTGTCACACCTATGCCGGTAGTTATTGGGAGCACTAAGTTCGAAGTTGTTGACGAGTAGGCTTACTTGGGACAAATGGTCCGACTAGGTAAGTTCAACTTTGATTGAGAGGTCAATCGGCGGACTTAACTCGGCTGGGCAGCGTTCAGGAAATTACTACACATCTTCTCGTCAGTATACCTCCAAACCTGAAAACTAGATTGTACAACCAGTGCGTGTTGCCAGTAATTTTATTTATGCCAGGACTTACGGATCAGAGACGCGGTCTTTCACTGCTCGCCGTATGAGGACGCTCAAGGTCGCTCTGCGAGCTATGGACAATGCTATGCTCGTAAGGTTTTTCTGCGTGATAAACTTAGAAATGATTATATCCGCAGTAGAACGAGAGCGACCGACATAGCACAACAGATTAGTAGGCTGAAGTGGCATAGGGCCGTCCATATAGCTTGATGAACCGACAACCGGTGGGGTAAAAGGACCGTGCATAGTGGCATTAATTGGAGGAGGTGTACGTTTAGCAGTGAACTTGTGAAGGGCTATATTGAAGAGTGATGATAAACAACGCTTGATATTTATTCGCTGAATCATGCTCCTATTTTGATCGCAACGCAATTCACTCACGCTTGAACAAAACTACAATAAAATTGTTCATAACGATGATGGAAGCCACAACAGTTTCAACATTTTTTCAAGTGAATCGATACCCGGAAACAATCTGCAGACGACACAATGCGGAATGCGCGATTGTCTCGCGCACGTGCCGGGGTGTGTGCCTGCCCTTATTTAAAAATGTTCGCTCGCA